ACACACCCGTCCCCACATCCATATACGTGGGTATGTTGGAATTATGCCCCATAAATAATAAGCATTGTATGTTTTAGTCATTATTTTATCATTATTTGACAAAGAGTTAGAAAAATGTGTATTTTTTCCCTCTATACACGGGTGCAGACTTCTAGCAAGCCTACTTTTGGGGTCACTGGAAGGTATTTTGCTTCTGGGTTCCTCCTCATGAAGGAGAATCACTGGTACGTAGCCACATTTGTCACTCACACATTCAGCGTTTTATTTAGGAAGCATTTCTTGACCACCTACTCACACGCCAGCTCTGGGCTAACCAGGACGCGTTGACTAATGACAAATGAAAGAACCCCCGAGCTCGAGCCACTCCGGGCCACCAGGACACAGGCACATAAACAGACCGTTTCCATGTAAGCTGATGGCTGTTCTCACACAGGTAACTCGGGAGGAAATGTGTTGTGTGCAGATAAGAGCACTGATTGCCGATTCCAGTAGTCAGGACTTGAGCCTTAGCTCTGTGGCTTTAGTAAGTATGGCTCTGGGCAGGGCAGGGATGTGTCAGTCTCCTCATCTATTACATGGAGAGAACAGCACCTGATGGGAGATCATCTGAGCAGCAAAAGAGATTATACTGGCCCGGCCTGGAGCACATGGCCAGGGATTGTTGTGGTGCTGCTCGGCTTCTCCTTCTCGTGCCTTCTTCCCACAACTGTTGTGGTTTGCGTGACTCATAACAAATCCTTCTTTGGAGCTGTTGAGGAAGTCTTCCTGGGAAGCCTCGACTTGACCTGACTTTTCAGAGATGAGCAAGGGTTTGCAACATGGAAACGTGACAGAGACCACGCAGGGAAAAGAAATGGTGTGGGACAAGGCGCATGACCCATGTCCCTTCAGGAAGAGAGAGTGTCTCTACTCATCTGTTCAAGAGCCCAGAAAAGGCCGTCCCATGTTGGGTGCCTAATTAGGTCCACTGGAAAATATCAGGCAAGTTTCCTCATACCTCACTGGCTCTCTTATCCCTGTGTGTCTCCCCATCCTCTCTGTCCTGTCTGGAATGGTTTCTTTTTGCTTGTGATTGAGATTCCGCGCCTCTAATCCTGGAATCATTTTGCTGGACGAATCCTTCCCCACTGTGGTGGAGGGAGTTATGTGTCCTTTTAATGAGGTCCACAGAGAAGGGAAGACAATCCAGCTGTCCTCTCAAAGCCCTGTTCGTGCACCAGCATTATTTAGGTGACCTTTTTCCCCTTTGTATCTCCTAATTTCAAGTTAAAGTAGAGCTGGTCATAAAACCAGTCCCCTCACGGCTGGCCACGAGAAGCTCCCCAACCTGCAATGGTTAAAACAGCTTGCATTTTTGTAGCAGCAAATGCTTTGCTGAACCATTTTGCCTGTGTTTTAAAAACATGTCTACACAACAGCCTTGGTGTTTGTCATAGTTACATTCAATAAAAATTTGTTGAGTGCCTATTAAGCGCTCGGTATTGTTCTAGTGCTAGTCTAACAGAGGGCAAAACAACATGTGGGTCCTGCTCCCATGAAGCTTTCGGTCTAGCAGGGAGACAGGCATTCACAAAACAGGTACAGCAGGCCATTCGTGATGACAGACTATGACAGGTACTCTGAAGCACCCCAGCTCTCTAAGAGCTATGACCATGATCACCCGGGGGCCAGAGATGGCTTCTCAGCTTGAGCTGAGAGTCCAAGGCCAGAATTAACAAGGAACAGGGCTAAGTGGAGAAAGGGGCTTCCCAAAAGTCTGTGGTGGGAGGGAGATTCCTGAGGAACCAAGAAAGGCCAGTGTGGCTGGAGACCAGGCAAGATGTTCCATGCTCAGGGTCAGACAGGAAAGTCAGGCAGGGGTTGGAACACACAGGGCCTACTAGTCCCTGCAAAGCCAACGAGAGGTTTTCAACACAAGCATGTTTGTGTTTCAGGGCATTTGAGGGAGGCGATATGATCATATTTTTTTAAAAAAATATTTTTGACTGAAATAGGAAGAACCAAACCTCGATCTGATGTATAAAGAAACAGTCTTGAAGGTTGAAAGTGAAAGAAGGAAAGAAAAAGAACAGTTATTTGTGGACCACATATTGTTGATTTACCCCACCTGTGAATGTGTTACTACATCACGTGCTTAGATAATGTCTGGGACACAGTGAGTGCAACACAAGCGAAGGCCACTGATTATTATTATTATTATTGCTACTACTATGATTATCACCCTGTGTGTGGCATCCTGCATGTATTTCTTTGCAGCTACCCTATATATCATCATCCATGTTTTACAAATGAGGAAACTAAGATTCTAAGAGGTTAAATAACTACCCAACATCCCCTAGTTGGCAAGTGGCCGAGCTAAAATTCAAAGCCCGTGATCCTCCTGTGTTGAGAAAACAATATCAAGACAAGCTGGGAGGAAAACCTGTCGTAAGTAGAATGGTTCCATTCTCTAAGAAGCCCAGCAATTGTTGCAGCTTCTTTTCTTTTTTAAAGATTTTATTCATTTATTATTTTAGAGAGAGAGCGAGCATGCAAGCAGGAGGAGAAACAGAAGGAGAGGGAAAGAATCTCAAGCATACTCCACACTGAGTGTGGAGCCCAATATGAGGCTCGATCCCGCCACCCATAAATAAGATTGTGACCTCAGTCGAAATCAAGAGTTGGACACTCAACCAACTGAGCCACCCAGGTGCCCCAGCAATTGTTGAAGCTTCCAAAGTTGTTTTCAAATTACTCTTAAAGGGATGGTTTGGGTATTTCGACTTAATTGATTTTCACAGGGATATATATAGAGAATTATTCATTCTCTGCTTCTTCAATTAAATAAAATAGGAAGCTCACAGCCATAAGTTTTCTAGAAACTCAAGCTCAGATTCGTTCTCATATACATTTGCCCCCAGACAAACTCTAAATAAGTGTAACTAGTTCCGAGTGACACTGTGATGTATTTGAGGAAACTATTCACTACTGAAGATAACGTAATGAAAAAAGAAAACCTGACTATCTAAGAAAGTACATGGGACTCCAAGACGCACAGCACATACCATGTACCAAGGTTCCTAAAGAAATGGAATGATCATATTGAATTCTCAACATCCTGGGAATAAGACTTTATTCCCATTTTATAGATAAAATAGAGCATAGAGCAACTAAGTGACTTGGCTTTGATTGTTTGGTATTTAACTCATGCCTTCCCTACTCAGCTCCAGTGCCTGACTCACGAAGTTAATGTTTGCCACATGCTATTATCCCTACCTATTGTCTATTAGTCTCACAACGGATTGAAAGACAAGTCTCCTCACCTCCCCGACCCCCTAATCTGGTGACAGTTGGTGAATTAGAGATAGTTTTGATAGGAATAAAACACAATTTCCATCTTGATGGAATACAACAGTTAAAATTGGTCTAAAAGAAAAAACAGCTCAAGAAAGCTCTTGGTGGTGGCAGTTTGTCCATATGAGGTAAGATCTTTAGTTTCATATACAAAACAGCAACTGAATAGACCAAGTGTTTGGGTTCTCAAAGTCTAAGCTAGGAGGAGAGAACAGAGGATCAATCAGAAATAGAAAAGTCATCTAGGCATCTTCCTATATGAGTTTAGGTCTTTCGCATATGGAAGGTTCCCCTGGAGATTTCTATCCATGCCATCCCCATCCTTACCCAGTATATACAGAGGTTTTACTAAATTTCCCTCCATAAGAGGAAAGACTTCTCAGGGGGTCATCTCCTTTAGCCCCCAATACAATTTGTAAGGGAACTATCTGATTGAAAAAAACAAATCTGTAAGATACCAAGATCTACGAAACATGCCATCCTTGGTCTCAATTCAAGGGTGATCCCAAACTTCTACTGGCTTTTCCTGAGGGTAATGACTGTAAATCACTTTATGGTAGAATGAGTCCTTCTCTCGTTTTATACACACACACACACACGCTCCTACCCGGAGGATGAGAAACAAGGCTGGGTGTTCAGAATGGGCTGCTCCCCAGCTCCATCCCAGACAGTGTGGCTGCACAGAGGTGTGGTGGCAGCACGGGACCATCCCCAGCCCTCCCCAGTCGGTGCTGCTCCTAGGACACCCCTCAGGCTGCCAAGCAGCCAGCCAGCTGCTTTTCTTGAAATTGCTCTTTTCCCAGGACGTGGCACATCAAAAGAAACAGGCAAATGACACGCAGGATACGCACCACCAGCTACGAGCTCCAGAAGTGTGGAAACCTGCAGTGCTTAGATGGAGGCAGACCGTCGGATGTTGACAAGGGACACACACGTGCACAGGGAAGTGCCCACGCGCACACGCACACGGATGCACAGCGGCCTAGGGTAGGAGGTCACGCAGCAGGTCCCCCAAGCACCGTGAGCTGGGCACTGTGTGCACCAGGCTCAGCTCACCCTCGCTGTAAGGCACCAGCTTAGGACCCCCACGAACCCCATTCCCAGCAAGTGCCCAAAGTCAGCTGCAGCTTCCCGCTCGGCAGGCAGCGCGGGGACAGACTGGGAGCCGAGCAGCCCCATGCGCCCCACCGCCACGGAACCCACTAATACTATCCGGATAATTGCTATCTTGGGCATGCACCAAGTTACTAAACAGACAATGACAAAAACAGAGAGCCTGGACAAATCTATGTGGCAGCACCTACTGAAAATTTTCTTCCTTACCAGGAGTTCTAATTACTTGTTTGCTCGTGAAGTAGAATAAGGGAACCTGGCAAAATATTTCTGATTTCTTTCTTTCTTTTCTTTCTTTCTTTTTTTCCGACTCCGCTCTATCGGCTCTGAGATCACCTTTGCAAGATTATCCTGCTCTTTAGCAAATACTTCCCTTTGCTTACAGAAACCGGACTGATTTTAGAAGCAGATCTAAGTCTGTTGGATCCAAGCCTTTGCCAGCAACGACAGTCATCTGGTGGCTACGGAGAGCCGTATCAGCAGAGCCTGTGGGAAGTCACACACCAGCCCACTTTTTCCCACCCACCCAGACACTCTCCCTCTCTGGTCTGTACCTTCCGTGTGGCAGCTGGAAGAGAGGATGGTATTCGGAGGTCTGAAGATGTAAGGCAGGTAACGAGAGAAGCATTTCATCTTCCAACAAAAATAAAAAATAAAAACCTAAATAAAAAACCAGTCTCCTGAATCCATGAGGATTCTCTTGGCCTTGAGAGCTGGCTACATCACCAATATGTTTATGTAGGTTCTCCCCTGGATCTGCAAAGCTGGGAAGCCCGAGGAATAACTGGAGATGGGTCCCATTTTGCCATCAGCGCCAGGAAGCACTGCCTTACATTTCTGCATGCAGCTCAAACTCAGAAGCCCCCAAGCAAGCCGGGATATAGCCTCTTCATTGGCTGCAGCTTCTCCGAGCAGGATTTGCTGAGTAAGTCAGCCCTGCCTGTAAACACACGCTGAAATGCCCTGCCTGAAACCTCTACCTTTTCCCGTGTGGTCAGTTTCTCCTCCAGCAATAGAAATCCAGCAGGATAGGGGAGCACTGAGGATAAGTGACCATCTCTTATTTAGCTGGAAGATCAGATGAAACAAAGGCAGCACAGTGTTCCACCCTGAAGAGAGATGGCTGTTAAAAGAGCCACCCGTAATGCCATGGGTCTCAGGAATATTAAAGTACAGTGCAATGAAATGGGTCTCTGTCCTTGCTTCATCTAGATTTAGCTCTATGTTTTTTAAATACTAAAGCCCAAACAATAGGACCATTTATCATTTAGGTGAAGCTCAAAGCTGGGGTGAGTAGTCGGTGACAGAGGGCTAACACAGACAGATTCTGTGCTCCACTACAGCCTTTTTTTTTTCTGCCAGCCCTCACACCAAGGCAGCAACCTGGTTCTGAGTTATTTGCTGGACAAATTTAAAGCCACAACACAAGAACGGAGGCCAAACCCAAGGAAACGCACCCTTTACCACTTGGTGTACCCTGGTGGCATGGAAAAAGTAAGTTGATCTAAGAATTTGATGACTTTACCAAAACACTCAGATTTCACAAGAGAGGGAATGAGAATATCCCTCATTGAGGCAGGACGAACCACCACATAATTTTGGATGGGGGAATTTGGTTTTGACCCCTGAAATAATAATGATTTTGGGAACTTCATCACTGAAAGGCAAACATGAGCTATCAGTTTGGGATTTTTAAGTTCTGTCAAAGAAACTATTGTCCATGATAGAGAAAAGGTGAATGTCCTTTATGCTGCAATTGGAAGCACAAGGAAATGATTTAATGGTCTATGGAAGAAAACCAATATTCCCCTGAGAGGGAGTTTTAGAAATGAAAGTTAACATAAAATTTAAAAACAAGATTTAATATAAAATATAAAATGTCTTCCTCCAATTACACTAAAAAGAATTAAAAATCCAGGAATAACTTTAGCCAAAGAGGTAAGAGACTCTGAAAACTATAAGACGATGGTAAAAGACTAAAAATAAATGGAAGATATGTTGTGCTCATGGATTATAAGAATTAATGTTGTTAAAATGTCCATACTACCCAGAGTAATCTACAGGCTTAATGCAATCCCTATCAAAATACCAATAGCATTTTTCACAGAACTAGAACAAATAACCCTAAAATTTATAAAGAACCAGGAAAGACCTCAAAGAGCCAAAGTAATCTGAGAAAAAACAAAGTTGGAGGTATGGTAATTCCAGATTTTAAGGTATACTATAAAGCTATAGTGATCAAAACATTATGGTGATGGACAAAACTAGACCTATAGATCAATGGAACAGGATAGACAGCCCAGAAATAAACCCATACAGATGGCCAACAGACACATGAAAGGATGCTCGACATCACCGATCATCAGAGATGCAAATGAAAACCATAGTGAGATATGACCTGACACCTGTCCCAGTAGCTGAAAATAAAAAGACAAGAAACAACAAACACTTACAAGATGTGGAATAAAAGGAACCCTTGTGCACTGTTGATGGCAATGGTACAACCATTGTGAAAAACAATAAAGAGTTTCCTCAAAATTAAAAATAGAAATGCCATATGATTCAGTAATTCTACTCCTGGGCATTTACCTAAAGAAAATGAACACTAATTCAAAATAATATATGCAAAAAATAAACCCCAACAAAATAATATATGCATCTCTGTTTATTGTAGCACTATTTACAATAACCAAGATATGGAAGCAATCCAAGTGCTTGTCAATAGATGAATGGATAAAGTAGACATGGGAGATATAGATATAGACATATAGATAAAATAAAGAGAGATAGATATAGGTAATGGAATATTACTCAGCCATAAAGAAGAGTGAGATCTTGCCACGGGCAATAATATGGATGGACCAGAGTGTATAATGCTAGTGAAATAAGTCAGGAAGAGAAAAACAAATATCATATGATTTCACTCATATGTGGAATCTAAAGAACTACTGAACAAATCAAAACAAAATAAAACCAAACAGATTCTTGAATGCAGAGAACAAGTTGTGGTTGCCCATGATGAAGTGGGGGCGGGGGGAGACGGGGAAATAGATAAGGTGGGTTAAGAGGTACACATTTCTAGTTGTAAAATGAGTAAGTCACAGAGATAAAAAGAATAGCAGAGGAAATATAGTCAATAATATTGTAATAACCTTATATGATGACAGATGGTGACTACATTTATCATGGTGAGCACAAAGTAATGTATAGAATTGTTGAATCAATATTCTGTGCACCTGAAACTAATATAAATTGTATGTCAATTTATTTCCATTTTTTAAAAAAGTGTGCTTTGAAATCTGGTAGAAAATTTTTTAATTTTTTTATTGCTTCTTCTCTTTACAAATATACTTAGCACTGGAGAAACATATTGGGCTGTCTAGGAAAGCAAAAACTTCGAGGCATAAAGTAATTATAGTCTTAGCCCAGGCCGTGATGTATAAATAGACCCTTCCACCAATATGCTTTCTCTCTGACTTTTGGGCCACTGTGAAATGACAACAAACTACTGGCAGATACAGGATGTCTAATCCTTCAAAAATCATATAACCCATGACTTCCTTAGACCTAGACACCAGGCAAGGATGGGCCATCCCAAGTAAGGTGCTGTTTAAACAATGCCTAAATGGTCTGGTTTGGTTGTATGAGTCATCTTAACCTCATGACACAAGAGCATATCCAGAGGTATCTCCCTGAGAGGTACTGCACGCGTGACCTCTATTCAGCAGCGTGGAAGAAGTGTGGGTTTTGGGGTCAGTCTGACCCAAATTGGAATCCCTGTGCACTCATTTACCAGTTGGGTAGATATAAACAAACTCTAAAACCTGTGAGCCTTCCTTTTCTGTATTAAAATGGGAACAATGACAAGGTTTTCCTTGTGCATTCTCAGGGGGAGTGAGACAATAAGCATATGAAGCACATAGCTCACTGTAGCCACGTGATCAACTCTTCCTACTGATGGTGCTCTTGCTGTCGCTGTGCACCTTCTCTGAGCTTCTATGGCCAGACATGGGCCTGAGAGCAAGGACAGAACAAGTGTGGTGAGGAGGGTGGTGGCACAACTAGACAGCCAGGGTTTAAGCATGCCTTTGATACTGACTTACTGTGTCATCTTGGGCAATTGACATCACATCTCTAAGTCTCATTACGTTGTGAATAGGAATAATAACAGAATCTCACAGGATATGATGAGGGCAAAAGAGGATGGTAGATACGAAGGGTTTAGTACAGTGCCTAGCAAAATGTAAGTGCTTCCTAAGTTTAATTGCGGTGTCTAAAGCAGTAATAACAGCCCTGAATCACAGGATCTCATTGCATTTACTTACCCATCTTGTCTATGCAATGAAATTGTAAACTTCCTGAGGGAAATATCAATGTCTAATTCATCTTTGTACCCCAAGTTCCTGGCACAAAGTAGATACTCAGTAACTATTAATTGAATGAGTAAATGAATCAATGGATGGATGGATACGTGGATGGATAGATGGATAGATAATATATATGGGAGAAAACTTTTGAAAGAGATATTTAAGACTTTTTTTTTTGTGGAGGTCTTTCACAGCACAAATGAATTTGAGCCCATTATAAAGCCGGAATATATTACTCAGGCAAAGATATTATGGGATTCATAAATAGACATGCTTCCACTTAGCATGATTTAGTCTTAAATAAACGGTAGGCATTTAGTATATATACCTTCTGAGTCAATAGCAGGCACTTAGTAAATACTTCCTGAGTGACAAAACATTCACTGATTATGCTGCCCATAATTAACTTGAAAGAACTAAGCAACCGCCCCACGTCTCCCAGCAAAAAGCCCATCTCCTTCATTAGAATCAAAAGATCAGTGAGGCTGGCACCTAAGTTCCAAACTGCCACTCCAAACCAACCAGTACCTCTCGATCTCAATTGAAAGCATCTTTTCCAATCCTACTTTAAAATTACTGATTTTATGCCAGCGCTGTGCACCCCGCCCACCCAGACACAGAATGGGCAAAGGGCAGAAAGAACAAATGTGAAATCTCCTCGATCAGATGATTCTGACACAGTTGGTTTGCACTGCACCAATTGAAGTGTTTCAGTATGCGTATGTATCTCTTTTTTCTCTTTGATTCTCCAAACCATCTCATTTTACAGAAGGGAAAACAGGCTGAGAGGATATAATAATTTATCCAAAGACAAATAGCCCCCAAGGAGATCTAGCGGTTTTATACCAGCCTCACTTAGTGAACTTGCATATTTCAGAGCCATCAATCTGACTGATACAGATTCTCTGAGGACGAACAGGGAATCTGCATATTCCACATGCCAGGTGATTCTTGCTTGAGTTTGAGAACCTCCAGAGTGAGGTATTTCATTTCATGCTTTGTCTTGAAACATAAGGGTTACAGAAACTTTTTCAAATACTCTTGTCCCAAATCATGTATCTCGCTGCTTTGATCCAACATTTTGTTGGCACCCTGATGTTCTATTAGGCATTAGTGAGTGATTTGCTGACTCTTGCTCTAAAGGACTGCATTTTCCAGAAAAAAAAAAAGGACTAATAAACTATTACAATACAACTTTGTAGGGGTTATGATGGAAAGAAGGGATCTGAAAAGATTCTTTGGGATTACAGAGCCCCAAAAACCTCAATGTTAGAGATCCCGTTTGGGGCACTAGGCATTATTTACAAAAAGCTCCTGTTAAAAGGCAATTATCTTACTGGGAGCCACAGCAAATGAACAGTAAGCAGTCATTAACCCCATAAGTGGAATGCGACTCTGCTATAACAAATGGC